TATATATATATATATATATATATATATATATATATATATATATATGTATATCCTTATTAAATACCAATCTTTCCGTATGGTAGGCTTGCGTGCCTAACAACTCCAACGTACTCGTGAAAAGGATATATCCGCTTTCAGATAAGCCATGGTATTATGTAGCAGCAAAAGCGCAGACAAATACCACTCAAGCACCACCCACGTTTTCTACTTTGCGCCTTACATGGCTGTGGCTTCAAATGACATCTTTCGCTCAGTTGCGTTGCCCGGTCGCTTGAAGTTTAGCTAGGTCTCATCCAATATGTCATACGTGAGAGCATTGCATTATATGTTCATGCCTCAGGTACCGTAGCTGCGCAGCACCGTCACGACTCCTGACCAACTTAACACGGGGACTGGTCTTAACGGGTGAACGACGTAGTAACCTGGCGAGGGACCGTGTTCCTCACGGTACGGAGACATGCCCATGAGGTACATCTCCTTGAACTACGAAAAGGCTCTCCTTCTTGAAGGCTTGTCTTGCGGCAGACGTTCAAGGATAGGAATTAGTTGGCCAACTCTCCCACGTCGGCGGCAGTAATGTTGTCTACTGCGACGTAACACGTTTATCGGTGCCGAGATTGCTGCTCGTAGGGCTGGGCACTCTGTGAGCATTCCATGATATCCAAGAAGGTGCTGGCTTTGTTAACATTCCCCAAGAAACAATCGCAAGAAAGGCAAGTTTTATTTATTCTCGTTTATAAGTCTCCTCTTTTAAGCATCTTTCTCCATCGCTCTCTCCTTATTTCTTCATCCTCCTCTCTCTCTCTCTCTCCTCTCCTCTCTCTCTCTCTCTCTCTCTCCTCTCTCTCTCTCTCTCTCTCTCTCTCTCTCTCTCTCTCTCTCTCTCTCGTCTCTCTCTCTCTCTCTCTCTCCTCTTCTCTCTCTCTCTCTACTCTCTCTCTCTCTCTCTCTCTCCTCTTCTCTCTCTCTCTCTCTCTCTCTTCTCTCTCTCTCTCTCTCTCTCTCTCTCTCTCTCTCTCTCTCTCTCTCTCTCTCTTTCTTTCTGTCTCCCGTCGATGAGTTTATATTTTCTCGGCGTTTTCATAGGTGTGATCAGGCTACGCCTTATTGTTTTGTGGTCAGCACGAATCATAAAGTGAAAAAATAAACGCCACCTTTTAACACAGCAAGCAGGAGCCGGCGATTACAGCCAGAGCAAAAGCTGACGATCATACGCTTTTGGTATGAAAGAGGATTAGCCAGGAGCACGGTGCGCCTTATCTGTGCAGGTCGATTGCGAATGTTCCACCACGCTCGTAACTAATCCAGTGTGGTCTGGTACTTGCCAACAGTTACATCAGTGCTTTGTTTAAGGGCACTATAACTTGTACAAATTGACACCGACGACGCAAAACCAATGGCGTCGTATCATAGGGAGACCAGTTATGAACATGACTGCACGGCAGTTCAACAAGTACTTGCACGTGTATGCCAGAAATAGTGCCAGCCTGCAGTGTCCAGCGGGGATAAGTTGCTCTACCACGCAATTAAATCATACCCTTTGCATCATGCAACCAATACCAAATGATGTTCTGTAGTGCAGATGACGAGTCTTCCTAACCGCGCGTGATTTCTCGCCGTTGTCAATTTAGAACGGACGCAAGGGCTGCGTGAATATACCGATTCGGAATTAGCCTGGGTGCGATCTCTTTTAAGTGGGTAATCAAACGCATGTCTATCTTCGTGTCCAGATCAGGCGTGTCCGATTCGGACTACAGATCCAGTTTTGGGGGAAATGGTGCGGGAGAGCAAAACGTCTCCATCTGATTATTATAATTCTGGGATTTAAAAACAAACATCGTTCGTTTGCCCAACATTATTCACTCTGATTTTATCACAAGCGGAAAACATTTCCAAACAATATACGTTGTCGTAGCATTGGTTTTGTAATACGTCTCAATGGGTTCTAATATATTACGGCCTCAAAACGCATTCATTTACTTACAACGCATCGAAATTCCCATAGAATAAAACATCGGCCATTTGACAGCTCCAGCCCCCCTCTCATCATCAGCTTCAAACCTAATAGTGACTCAGGGCGTTAAATTGGTGGGAACCTTTAAGCATCTGTTTTTTGATTGGTCGCCAGCTAGCCGACTGACCATGCTGGTCAAAGTCGCGCTGTATTCCTCCCTGGCTGAATGGACTCCGACACTCAGCGCTGAGTTGGCTTCTGACTCTTGCTCCGAGCAGCACGGCACGCTTATAACTCATCTCCGATTCTGACACATGTAGCTATGACTCGGCTCTAGAATCGGTGCCGATGGATTCTATTCCGGTGGCGAGAATCCGCCAGACAGCCGCTCTGTGGGCCACGTAAGCGCCGGACAGCCGCTCTATGGACCACGCCAGCGCCTACGTGAGGCATACGTGAGGTGAGAAGGCGATATCCCACGCTGGATTTCCGGTACCCATAACAGCTGTCAAAACAAGATGAACTGTTTCTGACAATTGATTGACCACCTGTCAATAATTACCGCCAGAAAGGTTGACTCACATTTGATTTCGGCCAGACAAGTTTGAAAAGCAATCGATGCCACCACGACTCGGCAAAACTTTGATTCCAGGATCTTCTCCGACTTTATCAGGAGTCAAGCATATGCCTAGTGTCGGCGATACTTTTAGTTGGGTTTGGCTATTCATATCATTTGCAATTTTTCTGAGTTTAATGTCATCATACTGGTTTATTTATTACGTGTCTAAGGTGGCCTATTCTCGTATCCTCGTGAGTTGATGCCAAAAACTATTCACGTGCATTTTTGGGCAATTTTGGGGGGATAACCTCCAAAAGTAGCCCTACTGCCCTTAATCACATTTTCATCAACCATATCAAATAGCTTTGCGGTCAAACCAAGGCAGCAAACGCAATATTCAAAACTTAGGTGTTATTCGAAAGCTGTGAGCCACTTGTCGCGCTTCTTTCCCACAACACATAATCACAAACGCATACTCGAAACCAACTAAGCATATCGACGCGCTATTCCGTCTGCAGCACTTGTTGACGAGCTTTGTGCACACGCCGGACTCCTATAATAATCAGCACGCGCGATTAATAGCCCTCGCACTGGCGCTGCGCGTGCGCGAGGTCACGGTGTGACGGCCGTCTCTGTAGGAATGGGGGGGGGGGGGGAAGAGCTGGGAAGTCCCATCCCGCCTGATGCACATGGAGCGCCGCGGCGGGACGTTATCTTTGGTCCAGGTGAATGCCGGGAAACCACCGAACCAATGCATCTGATCAGGTCAAAATCTGGGAGCTGTTGGCGAACATTATGAGGGCAGCCCTCATATTTTTACATGTCGGAATCGTGGAAGCTCAATCAGCTACTTGCAAAACAGAATTACATCATCGCGTGCTAATCCAATTCAAAACTGGTCGCCGAGTGCATATGCCTTATACAGAGTAACACGGTCAAGCTGTGAGAGGCAAATTTTAGAGTCGCGATTACGCAGCATATTATAAACCGACCAGAAGGCATCCGAATGACGTCATTATTATGACGTCAAAGCCGAAGGCAAAAAGATGTCATGAATGCAGCATTGTGAAGTTTTGAGCGTTTTATGAGATATTGTACTCGATTACTTGCAGCGGAGCAAAAGCATTGTAAAAAGAGAAAACGTCTTACTTTCACCATTACGCGAAATCCAGAATCATTTGTGCTTACCTTTGCCTTTGAGAAATGATGCCGCTGCAAAATCATGCGAGGTGTTTTGGCTTAATTCAACTTCATGTGACTGTATAATTTCGTTGAATGTCAGTGGGTTAAACTTTTCACTTATTTACACACGTCAGGTGGCTGTCAAAAAAATGGTTTTACGCTAGATTTCCCCTAACAATATGCCTCTTCCTATCCGAGCTCGACGAACTAACATTTTTAATAATAACAATCTGTTGTAGCTGTATATGCGCCAAGCTTGCGTGCTGTAGCTCTGTGCTTATTACCGTTCGTTTGGTTGTAAAAAAACATGTGAACTTTTTGTTGCATATTCCAATGTGTTCCAGGAACAAAGAATGGGCGATTGTCCCAATGCAACCCCGATTCCCATTGGCATAACTATAGGAAACGCGGCTGTCTATTACGTCACAGCAAGCTTCCCTTTGGCTTGTTTTGCAGGCTAAACTCTTGAATTCAGACATGCGTATGCTGCACACATATTTGAACATTGAACGTTGCTTTGCCTAGTCTGCAAATACAAAATATAACTTTTGCCATCACAGACTTGAGATAAAGCACTCATTCACGATTGTCATGCTTACTACATGGGTTTACCATCCATAACCTTATGGGCGCAAAATGACCATTGCAGTCGACGCGCCCGAAAACACCAATAAACAACAACCATCCATAACCTTGCACAAAGATCAAAATCAACTCAGCGGCGACTGCAATTATGTGGTTGTTACTTCTCAACAAGACGTGAGATCATGCTTTGAGCCATTCAAATCTTTGTACCAGAAATCAGCCAAAATGTAGGCTAGAATTGAAGCCCATCGCATGTAGATCACATTTAGATCCTACCAGCCTCATCTTATCTAAGATCATCACTTGGCAAAACCCGTCGCCATGCCAGCTCCGTCACTTCCATCCTTGTTCGCCTTGTCAGCCCGCTGGCACCGGTCTGCCCCAGCACCCTTCGCACCCCCGAGGAGGGATGCCCCGCATCCCTCGCTCCTCCAAGGAGGGATGCCCTTGCACTCTTCACCCTTCTAAGGAGGGATGCCCCTGCACTCTTCGCTCCTCCAAGGAAGGATGCCCCCGCACCCCTCACTCTTCCGAGATACGGCAAAGGGATGGCCGCGGCATCTTCCGGGTGCGGCTACGGCGCGCGGCCGTAGCCGGCGCGGCGGCGCGCGGCGCGCGGCCGCCAGCCGGCCCGGCCGGCGGTGCCAAGGTCAGCGGCGGTGACGTCAGGCCGACCCTATAAGTATACCCGGCGCGGCGGCGGCGTCAGTTCGAGCCGGGTGGGTTGTTGCGCCGCCGGAGCTGGTCTCTCGGTGCAGCGGGATAGCGCCGCAGCCCTCTGCCGCTGCCAGGCGCTTCCCCTCGGATTCGGACATCTGTGGTGAGTGGTGTTGGCGGAGGGCGAGCGTCGCTGAGGGGCCGATTACGGCCGGTGTGAGACTTTACTTGGGGTGCGGGGTTCTGGAAGGGGGAGGTGGTGATACCCCCGTTGAAGATTGACGCGGGCCTGGTGTTTTGCCCTGCCGTGGCTTTCGCCCCTCATCTGGCTGAAGGCTCTGCGAGGTCAGCGATGAGGCCGATGGATTATTTATGACGCGTGTTGCCACAAAACCTTGTCTCTAGCTGGCCTTCTAGTGGCGGGTTTCAGCGAAGAGAAGTATTCTAAAAGCGTGTGTGCGAACCTGCAGCTCCTATATCATGTGTCTCAGGACAAGCGAAACAAACCACCACTTCCTTCATGGATGTGTTACCATTTCTTAAAATCGCCTAGTATCCATGCGATCTCCAGGTGTTGTTTGACATAGTCTTGCTGGTAGTGCCCCATCAATCCATGTCGTTAGCTCTGCGATATTTCTCTTTTTCCATCTCGTCCAACACCCCTGCAAAGTCTCGGAGGCTGGCACCAAACACGGTAACCGGCCTTCCCGTGCGCCATGCGACGTTGTTGCGAAGCTGGCTGCATTGTTCTCCATCCGCCTGAGTTCTCCTTTTCACTGATTACCGGTGGGTGGGCACGCTGAGCGCCACTGGAGGCCGCGACCCCGCCGGGAAGCGGCGCTGCCTGCTCTGCCCGGCGCCGCACTGTTTCGACACGCCACAGACGTCGGCGTTGTTTTCGTGTTGCCAGTCGCCACGACTGGGTCTGGGCGCCGATGGGGGCCATCAGCCCACCGCGCCGGCGGAGAGCGGAGCTGAATCGGGCCGCGGCGTGAGTGAGCGGTGCCATCCGCGGCACTGGGCCATCCGTGAGGTCACTCATGGCGCAACAGTGTCGGCTCGAACGCGCGTCCCAATGTTGCCCAATGTGCAGCCCGAATTCACGGCGGGAAGTCAAATCCTCTGAGTGGGCAGCGCTCTGAAGTCAAATCCTCTGAGTGGGCAGCGCTCTGAAGTCAAATCCTCTGAGTGGGCAGCGCTCTGAAGTCAAATCCTCTGAGTGGGCAGCGCTCTGAAGTCAAATCCTCTGAGTGGGCAGCGCTCTGAATGCGCCTTGTGTGCCGCGTCTGGTGCTGGCGCCGACAGCCGTTCACCGTTGTCTCGCGCTGATGACCCCGGCCGGCCGCTGTCATGTCCCGGGCTGACAGCCTGAGTCGGCCGCTGTCACGTCCCGTGCTAACATCCCCCAGCCGGCCCCTGTCACATCCCGTGCTGACAGCCCGAGTAGACTGCTGTCACGTCCCAGGCTGACAGCCTGAGCCGGCCTGCTGTCACGTCCCGTGCTGACAGCCCCAGTCGGCCGCTGTCACATCCCGTGCTGACAGCCCCCAGCCGGTGACTGTCACGTCCCGTGCTGACAGCCTCAGCCAGTGGCTGTCGTGTCTCGTGCAGCCACTCCTCGTAGGCGGGGCGGTCACGGCTGGCTCAGTTGGTATTAGGAGATCGCATCTACGCTGATCCGTTGCAAGGACACGCGAATATGGGTTTGGCTTAATGGCTCTGAAGATTTTTTTCGACGGCGTGCTTAGCGATCGGTCATAATCTTATGTCTGATTGTAATCATGATCTGTTTGAATACTGCACGGTAATTGCTGTGCCATGACCTTAAACTCGTATTTACCTGCGTGAAATGCCCTGGAAATAGAAAGATAACAAAACATATAGAATGCATTCGTTACGTTAAATGTCAAGCAATTTGCCAGAATCAGCATACGCTTGAAACTTTCGGGGAAATAGCGCCTGTTTTAAGTTCTGGTAGAAATTTTGGGCTCATTATGACAATCTTGCAGCTATAACTTACTTTCCTTGCTCTATGCGCACATAAACTGCTCTGGTGTCCACGAAGCTGGTAAACTCTTACCCCGCTGACATTTCATCTTCCTTATTTCACAAACGCGATTTCTAAACAGTGATATATGCCCTGCACCGTTTGCAGTAACGTGGCACCAGTTTTTCCAAGGACAAGCTTCCACTTAATCCTGACAAGTAGTTCATCTTTGTCTTGGGACTTCTCAGTAAGCTTGCCGAAGGGGATGATGACATGCGGGAGATATCAGCATTCACATTGTATTGATATCAGGGAAGAGTATGATCAGATATAACAGCTCTTTAGTTGCATTCATTAATCTCTTCGTGGTATGTGACCGTGACCGACTCAGCGTTTGTGTGCATCAACAAGAAACTATAAGCCCTAGCTGTGTGACAGTGCACGCTTGTTGAGGGATCCGTACTCTGTAATCCGTACTACGAAGTTCCGTATTTCAGCCTATTTGCCTTTAATTTTCATTGACCCACTCCGTGTCGAAGAGTCAGGGGAGTCCAGTTGATCTATGCTTGAAGTTAATGAGACGAATTGCCTAAAGCTAAGGTCCATAGTATGACAATGAATGTTTTCCCTTGATTGAACAATCCATGTATATCAAATAGATGTAATTGATTTTTTGCTCGTGTTAGTACACAGATAACTTAGTGGAGTAAACTGTAAGCTCTCAGACAACAGCATGACAGGTTGAGTTACCCTTACTGCAAATATGGAAGAAAAAAGCACATATTTTTCTGTAAAAAACGCACATATGCGCAACATGTGTTTCAAAACGTCAAACATACACGTTACGAGCCGTGGGGTAAGCGACTTTGGCCACAAAAGAGGGGCATCGGATGTTACAATCTGTGCTCAGATAACTATTTACACCTTTATCTTTAAGTGCCACAATTCGCAGAATGGGACAAATAGCCAATAGGATAAGCTATAACCGGGCCTTCGAGCGGCGCGATAGGCTATGCGTAAGAAAGAACTGGCTCCACTCTCACCAAGACTGAAACCTGAAAACGAACGTTTCAACATTACTATTCGTCTCTTTTTGCATGCCTGGATGAACTGAGCAGAACCACTTTAAATGCAGAATCACATGTAAGAATACCAGATATAGATACTTCTGAGTAACATATCTAACCACTTAGCCGAACAACCGAGGCGGATTGATGGCACTGAGAGACCCGTACAGCCGATTCATTGCCGTGCGCCCAACCCCGGCCCCCGTGGCCAGATCGCTCATATGCACGTCTCAGTCAGATCATCTTGCAGCGGCAGGTTGAGATTCTATCACCCCAAGGTCAGGTCTGGCTCGCAATATAGCATCACGCGCGTGCAAAACCGCACGTCATCGTTGGCAATGGACTGGCCGGTCTGGTGTTAGTCCGCAGGCCACCGCTCGGATCTCCAGCTGGCTTCCTGTTGGCCGGCTGCAGTCTCCGCCTCCACATCCTGCTCGTCTGCGGACGCAGACACTGACCGTCGCGCAGACAGTGGTAGCCTTAGCCTAGTTTCGGGCAGTTTGGTATTCTGGTGCTGTCGTTTGAGTTGCACGGGTGTTCAGCGTGCCCAGCTTCCTGGTTGCCTTGGAAGACGCATTCCTCCTCTCCCAGGGTGTGACTGCAAGCATATGCAGATGGGCCTGTAAAAGTGGTAAGGCCTTTTACAATGACTGTTCTGCCTGCCCCTGGTCGGTTCCGTCCACCTGTGATGTCGCCGTGAATTTTTACATGACAATCGATGAGCAATTCAGTATTTACGGCGGCAATACACACTCGCAGGTACGGGTCCACCTAGAACGGAAATGGCTACTGCACAAGACGCGCCGCACTCAACGTGTTATTGGCCTTCTACCGTCAGACTAAACTGACCAGTCACGGAACAAGGCGACATTATAACCCATCGAATGAAAGTATTAGAGACCTAATTGTCACTGTATCCAAAATGCATGAAATAAGATCAGTAGGAGCGAAACCAAGTGACCAACCAACTATCGGGATGATGTAAATCGCCGTAAATGTTTACATCCGAGGCGTTTTTGTTCCATCAAAATGCACCTTTTCGACATTTTACGTTCACGACGCATTATTTTTTGGTCCCACGAACCCAAGTTCGCAGACGTAAAATGATGGATTGTCACAAGGCGACGGAACAATGGAACGGCACATAGAGTAATGTTTACGGATTTTCTTGATAAACCTAACAATGAACGGTGATTTTAGTCACTATTGATCCTATTTGCTGCGTAGTTTATTATTAGGGATCGATTTAAGTTTCCAAATTATTTTTCTCAGGTAAAAAGGGAATACTAACACCTTATCCTTCTCTTAACACTCGCCCTGATTCGCCGTTTTTCATAACAAGAACTGCTTCGTCAACCTCACCCCTGGTGTTTCTAAGCTAATGACGATATAGCTTAGCGAAACATACCAGTGGATTAGTCCCAACGATATTTTGCGATTGGTACTGATTTGCATGTTATTTGCCTAATAACTGACCACAATTATGCTCGGTCAAAGGCGAACTCCATGAGCAAATCACACTTTCAGCTTTATATCACACACACAAGATCATGTATCATGGCGTCACAAAATGCTAACAGGCATGTTGTTCCTTGTCCAATGCTAGGTACCAGGGTGTATACTCGTGTGCATTTGGAGCATACATGTGTATACATGTGTGCACTTTGAGCATACATACGTATATGACTTCGTTAATGTAACAACGTAGGCCCACCGTACGCGTTCCGCGGCATCATTGGTTGCTCCCCCCCCCCCCGCCCCCTCCCCCGCCGCCCGCGCTGACCGTAAATCGCCGTGCAGTGTTCCTGAAAACCGTCGCTGCTCTGAGTCCAGAAAAGCTAGGTAAACGTCTTTGGTGTCAAAGCAAGCGTGATAGATGTTTCATATAACTGGAAGTCTGGGTAATCGGAAATGGTATGCGGTTCAGTATGTTCCCCTGGGTAATCGGAAATGGTATGCGGTTCATTATGTTCCCCACATTGCATATAGCTGCTTGCTTTTTCTTGCCATGCCTCTTTTACTTCAGAAATATCCTTTTAAAGACTATTTGTCGTCGACAGAAGGCTTGCGTCTGCTAAATGAATAAAAGCCTCCATTTTAGCCGCACCT